TTGCAAAATAATACAAAGTTTGTAGGAAAAAAAAAAAAAGGAGAGGGGGAATGCTTTTTCTACCAAATTTTGCCACAGTAGACCTAATGAGTGGTCAAAGAGTGGAGCACACTGTCGTAGCACAGAGAGGTTGCTGACTCCTCATCCCTGGGGATTTTTGAAGCACTGCTGCTGCTCTCACTAGCCCAGCTTCAAGCAGGGTCTGTGTCAGGTGGCCTTAGGAGGTCCCCTCTAGCCTACGTGGGTCTGTGCTTCTGTGACATGAACTGCTGAATAAATCTTGTTCAACATATCCTTTGTTTTCTCACCTTCATGTCTGGAAAACCTTTGGCAACAGAAGAGGCCAAAGCAGGAGAAGGAGCAGCTCCCTTCAGGGGTCAGGGCTGCCAAGCAACATAGGAACGAATTTCCAAAAGTAGCTGAGGAAAAACAGGGGAGTCAATTGGCTGGCAAAACCAGGAGCAAGTGCTCAATCTCAGCGGTCATTGTATTGGAAATGTGAAAATAGCACAACCCTTCTCCAAGAAGTCTTATATTTTTCTAAGTACTTTCTAAGGTTCAGACGAATCCATCTTTTGTGTTGTGTAATCATATGTTGTCATATAGAAAGACCGACAGCAAATAGACAGTCACTGCCCTGTGTTCCCATGCCACACAGAGGAGACAAACCACTGGTAAAGTGATCTGCAGATTGGAAGGCTTCTGCTTGTATTTAAACCTCTGCTATAACACAGAGCCTTAAAAACATCCTGCTTGTCTAAAGACATTTTTATTTTCACAACTAGAAGGAAGCTTTGCTGTTACATCACTCACTGACTTTCCCCAAGGCATTGCTGAAAGGTATAATCAGCTTGTCCTTGGGGCACTGAGAAGCCTTGGCACTGACATCCTTGATTCCTTCTTTCCACCTGCACTGTACTGCTCCAAGTCAACCTCAAAGTCATCAGGAAAATTACCTGAGCAGCAACAACCTTAAAAAGCAGAAATCTTTTTAAAATAGCTTTTCAAGCTGGATTACTTTTAAAGTGCTGGTTGGAAATTAGATGCAATGGTGTGAATTGGAGATGAAAAGATGAAATCAGCCCAGAGGAGGGAAGATGTTATGCCTCAGCAAAAGCGCATTACTTCGTTTTTGACCAGATACATTAGCAGTGGGTGTGAAAGCATCTGAGGAGTGAGAGGGAGCATTGCAAAAGGACGTAAGGGTGGCAGGAACTGAAATCATATACATGCATAGAAAGATGGGTTGAGACTGCAGATCTTTTTTAATCTCAGTGTCCTGGAAGGGGCATGGCATTGTTTCACCTCTAATTATGCAGCATGTTTTTGAGTGAGATGTCTCCTTCCTTCAACCACCCTTGATAAAGACACTTAAGCAAGCGCTAAATTCTGTGTGTGTGAATAATGCTGTGTTCACTCAGCAAGGACCTCAATGACTTCATTTCCTTAAGACTCCTAATAACTTTTAGGACACTTATTTCCTGCTGTGGGAAGTATCATGAGATTATAGCCCAGTGGTCAAAACAGGGAACTCACTGGAAGAGAATATAGAAGGTCAAAAGACTCAGAAAGCTTTTGTCATATTACATTAATTACCTGAGCCTGCAATATTTGGGCTCAGTTTCCTTTCATGTCATCACCATAGTTTGTAGATAGGTGCCTGTATAGATGTGACAATAACTGTCATTACAGGAAATCCCATGCAAAATTCTTTCACCTAATTGGAAAAATGAAAGAAAAATGATGGGAGCATTGGTTCAGCCAGAAAGATGTTGGGTACAGAAATGCACCGGGAAGATTTGTCTTTATCGTAGGGTTGAAAAGAAAAAGCTGTTGGGCTCCTGAGATGCCTGGTACTTGTAGCTGTTCAAAATAAACTGCTGACTCTAATGACTGCCCTTCAGAGATAGTCTATTTTAAGACAATGGAGCTCCGCCAGAAGGAGCAATCACAGAAATGACAGTGTGCAATAAAACAAGGCAAGCCAGGATGGGGTTTTGATCTGTGAAGGGATTCCTTTCTTGCTTGCGCTTTAGCACTGAGCTTTACATGAAGTCTTGTAAACCCTGGTAGTGGAGGAAAAACTGCTGGCAGCCAGAGGCACGAGAGCTGCATTTGTGTTGCTGAGAGGGTAGAGCCACGCGTCATGGGCTGGTGCAGGGCTGAGCGCATTCGGACACCTCCCACCAGCCCAGGTTGCCCAAAGCCCCAACCAGCCTGGCCTTGAACACCTCCAGGGATGGGGCATCCACAGCTTCTCTGGGCAGCCTGTGCCAGGGCCTCACCACCCTCTGAATGAAGCATTTCTTCCTAACCTCTGATCTAAATCTCCCCTCTTTTAGTTTAAAGCCGTTTCCCCTTGTCCTGTCATTATCTGACTGAGCAGAGTTGCTCTCCATCTTTTTTATACGCCCCCTGTAAGTACTGAAAAGCTGCAATAAGGCCTCCCTGTAGCCTTCTCTTCTCCAGGCTGAACATCCCCAGCTCTCTCAGTCTTTCTGCACAGGAGGGGTGCTCCAGCCTCCTGATCATCTTCTTGGCCCTCCAGTAGGGGTGGGTCACTGAGCATTTCTGGTTTTGTTAGTAAATATTTGCCAATTTTGCTTGTTTTCTCTCAGCTCTTCTTTTTTACTTGGGTTATGTCCTGCACTTCAATACAAGTTTTTGTCCTCATGGCGTTCATTAGGATTTATTTTTGTTCCTGTGTGCACTGCCACAGCCATTGATGAAATGGAGTAAGTAATGTATCAGTCTGCTCACAGTAATGAATGTGATCTCTCTGCGTGTATAACAATGTAACTAGCATGGCAATATTTCTTTGTGCATAGGATTCCCTTTTTCAAATAGAATTTGACCAAGTTAAAAAGACAAATGGTATTTAGATCCTGCATAACATCAGAGTAGATTTAGGTCTTGTTTTGCTGCTTTTTTTTTTAAGGCTTTTTACAGCATCTTACCCCTCACCCTTCTCTGGTTAACCTGCCAACACCTATGTGCACCTGCAGAGGGAGAACCACCTGGGACTCCAGGGAAAAAGTGTGTGCTAGCTCATTTCTGAAATGCGTGAAGGAGTGGGGATCACAGACTTCCCAGCACTCATGGTGATACATAAAGCATAATAAATATAAATATATAATAAGCTCTGGACTTTGAGAAGACGTGCCAGCAACCACTAAAGCTCCCGGGAGCTCCTTCAATCAGCCTCCTTCAGCTGGTAAGAGCCATGATTACAAGTGGGCTCACCCCACCCGTGGAGGGTCCTTCCCCCTATTGAACACCTACCCGACACAACTGGTGTGCTGCTGGAAACCAGCCCCCATGGCTGAAGTTAAGGTACAACGCCTATGCCTCTAGGGAAATAATAAATGGACTATTTATAGTGTATATATAATATTATACGGTACTGCATAACTTTATCTTGTTTAAACAAACGGTGACTGCAATTATACCCTACTGCAGTACACAGAAAATAAGTGAAAGAAGCATTTGCATGAAAAGGAGAACTCCAAACAATATCAGAAATCTCTTACCTTTCTTATAGAGAAAAAAGTCAACAGATTTTGAAAGGAGGGAATAACAGTATGCAAATTCTCCTTGCTCTCCAAACAAAAAAGTGCTCTTTGAATGAGGTGTATTTCTTCTGATTTCTGCATCAACACAAGTTTTTAAGCTTTAACTGGTCTTTTTTAAGACACTGGTATAAAAGCTGATGATTTCTTTCTAAAAGACATGGAGAAAACTGTGGGATTTCAGTGTTTAAAACACTGTCAGGTGGATGGCAGCATGCAATGTGTAGGATTTATGAATAAATGGGCAAATCCCCAGCTTGGCCTCAGTAGAGCTGTGGCAATTCCCATCAGCTGACAACAACCTTGGACCCTTCAGGCTTATGGGGCAGTCTGGCAATCATGCCCATGGCCTCAGCTGATTGCTCTGTGGTCTTGATTGTCTCATTTTCTATTCTGGACATTTTTCTTGCCGGTAAGCTCCCCAGCTTTCCTCCTGTTTTTCTGTGTGCGACGTTGCTTTTCTTTCACCTTGATTATCCTGTCTGAGTAGCATGCTTGGCTTTGTGATCTGGCTTTTGTGAGAACATCATTTCCAGGAGAACTGCATGTAGCTGCCATACCCAGGTGGCATATGTGGAAAGCCACAGGGACACAAAGCAATGGGAACCTCTGCCCCAAACATGGGTCATTTGGGAAGCCAAAGGAGGGTGAGAGGGTCCATCTCAGGATGAGATGTGGCAGCAGCACAAAGCTGGTGAACGTATGGTCCCTTTGCTGTATGGAATGTATGGCCAGGGTTGATGCAGATTTCATTTCTCCCTCTCTATTCATCCACTCACTGCAATCCAACAGCTCTGTTTGGGGGTCTAATAAATAAGCAGGCAATTGGAGCTGTCAGGACTGTCAAAAAAAAAAAAAAAAGAGAGAGAAATATCACAGAAGATACAGATCAAGCAGCATAAAACCAAGCAGAAAAGCTTATAGTATGGTGACCTTCAGAGAAAGCTGAGAGTTTTGAGGAAAACCACTAGTCTGGGAAGGGATTTCAGGCCACAAGCAATACACTGCTCTTTTTTTTAGGGTATGGGGCCTCTGTGTGCTGTCTTTAGACAGCATTGCAGCAAAAAAAAATGCCTTTTTGTGTCCTTTTCCTAAGGGAGACTCTCACAGAGTACAAAATGCTGACTGACTCCTCAGTCAAAACACTTACTGCTTCATCTGGTTATGAGGGATGACTACAAGGGCAGCAGTCTCTTTGTCTTGCATGTACCCACAGATCTGTTCTTATCATATCATGAGTTTATATTGGTTTTCTGTGCCTAGGCCCTTCAAAAATGCCATTTTCCTTGAAGAAAATTATGAAGAAAGTCTGTGGGATATATTCAGTAATATTATTCAGATGGCTTCAATACAGCACGGCGTTTTTCATTAAGCAGTAGATGTTGCCAACAGCTGTGTTTCATTTACATACAGAGCCTGGATTTAACAATGATCTTGATGTGGGAAGCCATCTCTTGCTGTTAGCTTTCAGCAGCTCTTGTGTCTGCGGTTGCAGTTGGCCTTCTAGAAGTGCTTCCATGTGAAAGCTTTATCTGGATGAAGGGAGGGACAGACCAGTTGTAGTGCCAGGACTTCATGAAACCTTGTGTTTCTGGGCAAAACCCCACTGTCTGTGCGCAAATGCAGGAGGAGATAGAAAAGGAAAGGTTGGATGTGGTGCTTAGGGACGTGGTTTAGAGGGTGACATTGGTGGTAGGGGGATGGTTGGACCAGATGACCTTGGAGGGCTTTTCCAACCCTAATGATTCTGTGGTTCTGTGATTTTATGCATCTCAGGTGCAGTCCAGAGGCAGCAGATTCACAGCCTGTGTGTTTTGGACTCCCCGTGTGCAGTGCTCAAGGAATATAGCTCTGTATTTCCTTTCGGGATTTCTCAAACATTCTTCTTATCTGTCACGTATGGGAGCAACCAAATCAGTTCAAAATCCTGAACAGAAGCAGGAATGACAACATTACTGGAAAAACTGTTTTTAGCTGGTAGGCAGGCAATTTTTCTGACTTCGACCTTTTCTAATTAACACGGGAAAAGTTCCACCCTAATCCCTCTTTACCAGCTATTTCTGGTTGTTTTTTGTTTGTTTGCTTTTGTAGATTGGGAACTGTTTGGTGCTGTTTGCTCCCTGCCTGTCAAAACACAAATCACTACGAGTCAAGCAGAGTCTTCATTTGCATTCATGCTTTGCTGTGGCTCTCAGCTACTTTCCTGGGTGGAAAAGGAAGCAGGATATACTCCAGAGGCTACAGATCTGCAAGAATACTAGAATATCTTGTCTGACTTTTGTTTAGTAATAGGTGCCTCAGGCACCCGAGGTTTGGGAAGAGATGAAAGCCTCCAGGAATATATTCAGAGTGCTGATGGCCTGGGCTGTCACTGGGTGTTAGGCATATGAGCTTTGGACCTATGAGACCTGCACCCACTTCCTCAAGGGAGACCAGACCAAGTCTGAATGTTTTCAGGGGAAGTTAAGGTCAAGCAGGATTATCTAAAATGTTCAAGCAAACAAGGCAGATGAGTCCCACTGAATTAGAATAAAACTGTAGATGTTAACGTAGGAACTTTCACAAAGAAAATCTCTAGGAGGAATATCTCAAATACTGTATGGGGAAACACAGTCAGCTTTTTGTGGTGTGGTGTGGTATGGTGAGCTTCCTCTGTGCCTGGCAATATTCCTTTTCTAGCTCAGAATTTACTTTCTTGCTGTTTTCATAAAAAGTGGTGTATTTTAGCCCGCTCTTGCTCTGCCTGAAGTCATGCTCAATCCACATCAGCTGGTGTATAGCTTCAGAAAGCTTGCCTGTTCTTTTCCTTAATTTCATAGCTGGCTTGGTAACGATACTGTAATTCTCTAGAAAATTTGTTTTGCTTACACACTGGTATGCAAGCATTTTCCTTATCAGTTTTATCTTTTTCTTTCAAATCACTTAATGCAGCCTGAGATCCTTCAGACCATACTCTGGAGGTGCAGCACACTTCCTGGGGAGGGAGGGACCCTGAAGCTGATGGGGAGAAAAATACAGCCCCAAAACTGCTTCTTGGGGTGGACAAGGAACCCCTGATCAGCAAGGAACGCTACAACATAGAGCAAGAGAGAGTTTTTATCATTCCTGACACAAACATTCTTTTGAAACAGTTCCTGTAGCCACGGGCAAGCTGCAGGTGAAGTCAGTGCTAAGTGAAATTCCTGGCTTTTCTCACCTGTGCGTCATGAAAAAAGGCACAGGTGTATTAGTAAAAGCAACACCACCGACCACAGGTGAGGTAAAGGGCTGATTTATACCCACACTCATGCCTGCATGGCCTCAGCAGAAGCACGTGAGGGGCATTGGCAGCGTTTGGCCCCTCTCCAGCAGTTTATTGGGTGCAAACATATTCAGCAATAATTCTTTGACAGTTTATTAAGAGAATAATGATAAGAAAAGCACGAAGTCAGAACTGTGTTCAAAAGAGAAAGGTTGTGTTGCCGGCTCCTATAACAACAGGTTAGTGGAAAAATTGCCTCTGTCTGTGGAGACTTTGTGTTTACCAGATGTTCTGTATTTGAAAGTCCTGCAATTAGCCTTCAAAGAGGTAAATTAGCCGTGATTCGTTTCAGAGTTAATCATTACTGTTACATATTTGAAACACCACCTGGTATTTGCAGCGTAATTAATGATATATGACTCCTGCACAGTGGTTTTAAACAATCTTTAGCAATGTCTATCATTTGAATTAGGAAAGATAATGCTATCTGCACCCGTAAAACAAATGCTCTGGCTGTGCTTTTCCATCCATTCATAAACTCTCTCTCTTTTGGTACATCTTTGTAACAAATTAGCCAAGGTGAAACTGCAAAAAATGCTTCAAGAAATAGAAATGTGAAACTTCATCAGATCTAGGCTGAGCTCATGTTACTATCAATTGCAGGCAAACAAACCTCCTACAGATATACTGTATCCACAGCACGTAATTCCTAGTAATACGAATCATGCAACAGCATGGTCCAACAGCAAGTTAATATTTCCACAAGGCCACCCTACTCCTAGGAAATAGGTAACTATGCAAATCAATATGCACTTAAATGAAATCAATAAACAAGAAGGGTCAGAAAATCAAAGGTTTTTTTCCCATCCCTATGCTTAGGAAATGCTCTGAAGCAGTGATTTTTAACAGCTGTCTGCATTAGCTGAAGCGTGCACCCGAGCCAGGTCTAAAGTCCTCCGCAACTCTCACTCTGGAGAATTTTCTGGAAAATAAATAGAATTTTGGAATTAAAGTCTCTGTAACACTAAAAGCTCTGACAGCCTGATCCAGAGAGAGACCTTAGAAGGAAAAAACTCCTCTTGAATTCATCTGTATTTCATGCTCATTATGCTCCAGTGTATTTGGAAAGGGAAAACATTGTGGATTTGGAGCTTTACATCTTCTGCAGAGCAAAATGCCGAGGCTGAGGAGATCGGCGCTGGACCATCCCTACAAGGGTGCAGCTTTCCCCACGTGTTTCTGCTGGCCTTGTACCTCGGAGGCCTGGGGGTGTCAGTGACAGTGTATTTGCTTTGGTATTCGTGTGCTGTCCCACATTCACTGTGAGATCTGAAGATGTGCTGTATCCATAGAGCTCTGGTGACGTCAGTGGGGTGAACGCACAGAAACCAGCCACGCTAGCAAAATCCCTTTTGTGCTGCTGTCATCGCCTGGGAACAAAAGCTCGAGCAGAAAAACCCTAAATTGTTGATAGCATTACCGCAGCTAACAACTAAACAAACACATCTTGCAGCTTCTCAAAAAGTCACCTGCTGAGCAGTATAGAAGCACAGGGTGGCTCCAAGTTATGTGCCCAGCAGGGAAGTTACCCCACGGGTAACTGTGCTGGTGTGGTGCCCAGGTCACGGGTACTTTGGGGATAAATACCTAGCTAGGCTTGCCCATGAAAGTGAATCTGAGAGGGGTGCAAGGAGAGCAGGGATTACTGGTCATCCTCAGAGAGGGCTGAGATTTACTGGTGGGGTCCCACAAGCCAGAGGGAAGCACAGATATGCCTCGTCTTCTGTTGGGACTGACTGCAAATTTTCTTGAAGCTTTAACCCCTGTACTAGCCTGTCAGATGGACGCAAATATGAAGGCAGCACGTGACAGCAGGGGCATGGGCCACCTCACTCCAGGTAGGGGTTTTCCAACAGCAGTTGTACCTCTGGAGCTCTGTGTCTCACCCCACGTTGTGGTGAGCTCCACGTCTGCAGCTCAGCGAAAATGCTGTTGTCACAGGAGTTTCCTTCACACCAAAGTGAACTCCATACGAATTTTGGGAGCTCTCCCTTCCAGATGGGTGTGTGAGCTTGATTTCTAGACACTGTGCAGCTGATGGGTAGAAACTGGCACAAGTAGGAGGGTGACTCACTGCTCTCTGGGCACATGGGCCTGGGATGAGCCGATCGCTGTTTTTTACTGATGGCATTCAAATGAGTGAATGCAACAATATCACATGCAGTCACACACATTTTGTTGTGTGATCTCCAGCCTCTGGAGGCGTTTAGGTCTCTTTCTTAAGGCTGTGTTTAATCTATCTACAGCCTCAGGCTGTTTCCATGTGAGAGAAAATGTGTTTTTTATTTTTTTTTATTTTTTTTTTTTTAAAGTAAGTCACAGGGTCAGTTTTGCAGTTTCCTACCTGAAATCCTCCTCATTATCAGGATCTATTCTTTGGCCAGAAATGCTGCTCACCAAATCCTTTCCACTTGCACAGTCCGATGCACACTATGTCTTCAAAATTTTTGCAGCAGGTGCTCTTCATTAGCAATATATGTACAGCCTCAGCATTGTTAGGAGTGGCATCTAATGAGGGCTTGTGACAAATTTTTACTTTCATAAGACGGCTTTCCTGGATGGAAGCCCACTCTGCCTATCTGTGTGCCTCTGGTGTTCATTTTCTAATGGCTCCACGTATTCCTTCATTAAGTAATAGAGGTCACAAGGGTTAGCCTTGGGCACTAGCTTTCATAATTTCTTGTATATGCATTTCAGTAGTCATGCACTAGTTATTAGGGCTTTGGAGGGGCCATAACGCTTTGAAATGTTTTGCTCTGTGGAGCATGACCTTGGCAACACACACGTGCAATAAAGCAAAGCCTGGCCACGCTTGGTTTTCTTTCCCTGTCCTTGCAGACAGCAAGGTTTCCAGGAGCAGAGTGCTGGGTCCTGCAACTGCCTCCCCACTGTGAGGTGGGGTGTTAGGCTTGGAGGGGACAGATTGACTGTCTGTCCCTGCAGATGCCTCTTCTGAGTGAGTCCTGAGATCCTTCACATCATCCCACCTGCACACACACACACACCAGCCCTTACATTCAGCCAGGGTGAAGTTGTGTCAGTTTTGCCCACCTTAACTGCTGTAGGGAAGAGCTGGAGATGTGAATAAGGGCACAAAATCCCCCCAGATCTTACCTGGATGACCAAAACCACAAAGAGGCAACAGAAACTCAGCTGCAGATGGATTTCTCTAAGCTCTGGCCCTCAGAACAAGGATAACTGGAGCTAAGGTGTTAGAAAAGGAGCCTGCTGCATTACCCTGAATGGGAAGCTATTTTCATCAATAAAAGAGTAGGCCAAATGGGGTGCACCTGAAAGAACTAAGTGTTGCGTCTATGCCCTCATCGAACTTCTCTCAGTGGATGCATAAATTCTTGTTATAGGCATGGTCTCTAATGAGGGTGTCCTGCTTTGCTCTGCTGTGCCTCCCCTTGAGCCTACCTTTCCCATTTCTCGGCATAATTTGAGTTTCTCCAGTCCCCGCACTCATTTCTCCAGGCTGGCATCGTGCTGATGTGCCCGCAGGAGGTAGCACACCCTTCTTCCTTTCCTCTTCTTTATTTTTTGTGCTGTATTCTGACCTCTTGGATCTTAATTTTCCTGTTCCCAGCCTACAAGTTGGAACAAGTTCTCTGCCCCTTACACACGACATCTCCTGACAAACAGTTTAAAATAGGAATAAACCCATGAGATTCCCTGGAGTTACTGCCTCCATCACTGGGACAAAAAGGTAAATGTTATGAATTAGTCTTGGATATTCTCTGATTAAAAAAAAATAATAAATTACTAGATCATGTTCCATCAGGAAACATATTTATTTCTTCAGTTCTGTTGTTGTGGTGTTTTTTTCTTTGTTTGTTAGTTTTGTTTTGTTTTGTTTTTTCTCTAGTGTTTCAGGTTAGATTCAAAGTTGAAATAACATTGACAAAAATCTATCCAGACAGCAAAAGGAGCTGGAAATGGAAATGGAGGAAAAAGTTATTACAGAAAAATATTTTCTTTCAGTTGGCTTATTGTTGGGCTGCATTTCACACACCTCTCCTGTGGACAGTCAAAAAGAAACAGGAAAACTGTGGTACAAAGGTATTGCTCTGCAGTGAGAACTTTGCTGCCCTCTGCTCAGAGGAATTAAAGGCAGACTTTTGAAGTGGTGCTTCCAAACGCTTCTCTGATCTGCAGACACCAGCATGCCTCTTGCCCTCCTCCTGTGCTCAGTGTTTCAGTTTCAAGGCTGCCGGTGCCCTTTGGACATGACACCTGCAGCAAGCCCAGGGACGGCATGCCCAGCATTGCCTCCAGAAAGAGAAGTTATTGGTCCCACACAACATGCTCCTGGCTCCAGAAATAAAGGGCCAGAGAGGTGCCTGCTCCGTGGCTGCCCATGCACGCCAGGCTGAGGGTCTCCTCCAACCACCCGGGAGCATCCCCAGCCTTGCCCTGGCTGCATCCTTGGAGAAAAGGCTTAAATATTGGCTGTGATAAAATGCAGCATTGAAATGAGCCTGGCATTTCATTCTTGCAGGCTGAATGAGCAGTACAGCCATTTTGATACAGATTGGGTGCATGCACTCGAGCAGTGACAGGTAGGATCTACGGCTTCATGAGCTGGGATGCTGAGGTTGCCCTCACACAGCCCAGAGCTGTGATTTGAGTAAAAATATGCTCCAAGACCCGCTGTGACTGTAATTATGCAGAAAAAGGAGATCCCACTGGGTCATACTACGAATGAATTTGGCAAGCACTGCATGAAACAGGATCCGTACAGCTTGGCCAAATAGCCTGTGATGCTCAGTGAGTGCAAGAGCAGCTGGGAGAGGCAGCGGAGGTGAGTGCAATATTTCACTGCAGCGTGGCATCCAACTGAGCTGCCACGGACAGGCCTGGGGCTGTCCAGCTCTACTATTAAAGATGCACCAGGGGTGATGAGTGACAAGACTTAAACTAAGAGAAGGTACATTTAGGTTAGATATTTGGAAGAAATTCTTCACTGTGAGGATGGCTAGGCTGAAACTGAAGAAGAATCAAATGCTCTTTGTGTCATACTGGAGGAAGATTTAGGTAGCTCTTTGTAATCATATTACTAATTCAAAGACTCCCTTTCTTTGCCTACACCAAGAGCTTTCATGGGATAAATTCATTTTGCAAGTCTGCTAAATGTCCTGCAGCCATATGGGCATTTGTACATTTGTTCCCTCTTCTAGACAATGACACCTAGATTTTTCATCTTCTAGTATCCCTACAATTTCACTCATTCAGGACTTTTTCTCCTTCGAAACAGTGCAGAACAGTGGGTTTTGCCATTCAATAAAATATTACATTAAAAAGCACTTCCATTTGTTTGCTTGAAACCTACTGCCCAGTAACTTTATCATACAGGCACAGTCCTTGTATTGTGAGAAAAATCAATTGTTATTCTCTATTCAGTTTCACTACAGCACCAAGACGTGTGCATGCTTCTAGCAGAGTCCCATGTCTTATCTTTTTCTGTGCTGAAAAATCTAAAGCTATATTTTTCTTTTCTCAGAATAAGCTGCTTCATATCTCTTATCTCTGTATTTTTCTAATTTACTGTACTTTGAAGCTGAGATGACCCACACTGTAAACAATACTGAGGATGCCTTTATATGCTTTTATACTGTGGCATAATAGTAATCTTTCCCATTTCGCTCTCTTCCCGAGATGCAGAGGAAGGTTTGCATGCATGAGCACTTATCTGTTCTTTTTAGCTGCACTACCTAGATGAATAAAAGGTATAAATCCAAACACGTAAACATTTCGCAGTCTACTGCAGCAGTCATATTACTGACTACATGCCTAACAGTCCAGTTGTCTTTCTGAGCCTCTCCGAGCACGTCGTGTTTTGTTTGTTTGTTTGTTTGTTTGTTTTTTTCAGGCAGCTAGTCACATCGGCATCAAGAGCTCTTCCCTGGCTCATAAGGGATAAATCATAGGTTGTGGATGGGTATGCGTGGCCAAGATCATTTTCTCCTTGTGTTTGACTGTGTTTTTATTTGCACTCAATTTCATCTGCAAGCTTATTGCCCAGTTATTTAGTGTTCTGGTGACAGTTTTTGCAGTCAGCTTTAGATTTGAGTATCCTGATTTATTTTGTATTATCTTCAGGCCGTGTAGCACACGTTTCTGCTTACCATTTTTCCATCATTACATTGAACCAAACATGCGGCACTCATACTAATGACCTATATACACATATACAGGACACATTGAATGATTCCAGTACAGAACCACATGCACCCTGCCACAAACCTCATCCTTAATGCCTAGTTTTTAGCTTCTTGCTATTCATCACATATTAACCCAAGAAAGAACTTCCCTTCTACCCATGACAGTCTGATCTCTTCAAGAGCTGTTGGTGGAACTTTTATGGTGTATATTGACCTGATCACATTTTCCCAATGTGCTTGACTCCTACAAAGTGATCTAGCAGCAGCTTATGAGGCATGTGTTGAATTGCATGTGTAGAAGGGAGAAAAGAAAAGGGTTTATGCTCAATATGGTAGCTAGCAAAAACTGAGAAAGGGTGATCAGCAAAACAGCAAAAATACTAGAACTACTCCAAGCTGAGAAGACCATCAAAAATAAGGAAAGAACATATTAAATAGGTTTTATTAGAGAAAACACTAAGATTGCCATCTTCAGTTTGTACAACACTGTGATTCATGGGGAGGAGAATGGAGAAATGAAAAAGATAAGTGAGAAAACTAGGAGAGTCCTAAAAAATAAACAAGGAAGCTAAGACAGATGAAGGATGTGTGAATATTTGGAGGCAGATATATGAGGACCAAGTTCTTGTGGTGTTTACACAGACATTTGCACAAAGTAGCTGCCACTGACTGTGCTGTCTGGTTTTACACCTTCAATAATTTGAATGTGAGACCGCTGTGTCCTTCCAGCATGCGCAGAGATGTCTAGGGATGAAAATTGTGTGTGCATGAAAACATGCTGCTGGTACTTACACTTGGGAAATCTGGGCTCTGAAGCCACTTCTTGTAATTTCCTTCTATGAAACTGATTCAGCTGCCTTTTGTGGCCATCGGAACAGCCACCTCCTCTGTACCCACCCCAGGAAACGAGGCAGATTTGTGCAGCTGCCACCACATCAGAGCCCTGCGTATTACTGGTTGTGAGGTG